GTCATGGCTGGGGAAGAATGTTTATTTTTGACACTTTTCTCTTAATTTTTATTCACAATTTCATTTGATCATAACTTGTTCATGATTTCACCTTTTTGATCCCTTCTGTTTGCCATGTACTCGTGATACTTTCTACTTTCACGTGGTATAAAATTTTCCCAAAAAATATTTATTTTTCTCATACTTATGATGGTTCCAAGTGTGAGATATTTTAGGGTTTCCTTGGGACATTTTGTGTTTCTTTTAAGTGATTATTTGAATTCTTTTGGTAATCATGAGTTTTATGTGACTATTATGTAGCATGTACAAACCTTGTGTAATGTTGTCAACTTGTATCTTTTGGTTTAACATAGTTTTTGGCTTACTTTTATGTATGTTTACATGTTTAAATGCTTTGAATTTTGTTTGCCTATACCATGAACCTTTGTAAAACTATCTTGCCTAAACATGAGATGTCCTCTCCATGTTTACATGGCCATGATGTGTATGTTTTCCTTCGTGAATGATTTCACCATGTTTGTGTGTTCTTAAACACTTGAATTTTGTCATGAATATGCCATTAAACACATGTTTGTTTACCTCAAACTTTGTGATGTTCTTACTTGTTTATGACCATGATTTAACCCTAGCCTACATGTTTAGGTTATTGCCTACTTCTCTTAATATGTCCAAACTTATACCATGATTAATTGTTCAATGTATGTCCCAATTTTGTTCACATAATGTTTGACATTCAAAACATGTTATACATGGATGTTTGGGTGAATATTTATGAAGTTTCCATCTTGTTTAAATCATGTTGAAACCCTAATGCATGCTTTCTTCAATCTTGAATTTAACTTGTATCCATGATATTTTAGTCTTTTTAGAATTCTGCTTCATGAATATTTTAGATGTTGTAACATCTCTGTTGTTCACCATGTGAGTCTGAAACTTCCTTGAATTTGGTGTATGTTTGGTTGTTACCTTGTTCCTTTTGACTTTGTCAAGTCTTTGCCTTGGATTTTGTTACATCTCATGATTTGGTTGTTATCACTTGCTTTCCCATGTTATAATTGATGTCATGTTTGAATGTTATTACTTGAATGTCATGCTTGTTTCCATCTTACTCTTCTTTAAACTTTGTTAAGTTGTTTTCCCAAGTGATGTTAGCTTGTTAGCTTTCATCCTTAAGTAACCCTTTTATTTTCTCAAGTCCAAAAGAAAGTCTCTCTATTGGCTCAATGTCATAGATAACTCAGTCTTATCCTTTTCTCATGAGCTTGTTAAAGTCATCCTTTAGGCCTTGTTAGAGCCACTTCTCTCTTAACCTAACTTTAGGGTTAGGGTTTGTTAACCCTGTTTGATGCCATTATCATGAGTACTCACCTCCCTCCTTTTGGTCTTGTTAGAACCAATTGATTTTGCAATTTAGATTCAAGTTTAGAGTTTCTCAACTCTATTTGTGTATCATTGTTATATGTGCTTACTTTCCTCCTTGACTTTTGTCAAAGTCAATCCCTAGTTAGGTTTTTTAAGTTAGACTTAGAGAGTTTGTTAACTCTATATAAGTGTCATAGTTATGAACATTTATTCCCCTTGGAACCTTGACCATAGTCAAGTGTTCTTCACCCTTAGCAAGGTGAACTATGAATGCTCTGATTCTATCCTAGTTAGGATACGTAGGCACGAGATGTGATATCTTGGCGAGCATATTTTGCATATACCCTTAGGTCTTTTTACCTTAGCACCATTTCCCTTAGAAATCAAACAATAGCATAATACAAATACTAACAAGAGATTTATGTAGAGTACTACAGATACTTAGGATGCTAACACCTTTCCTAGGTATAACCAACCCAAGAACCTTAGATCTCTAGCTTTGTTGTTACATAGTGCACTTAGGGTTTTCTTCGATCTTTACCCTTTCCTATGGATAAAGCAAAGCTTGGTGGTGAACTTCATTATTTCTGATTCAAGTTAATTAAATAGCTTGATATCCGATTCTCACCGCAACAAGAAGTATCTTCATTTTCCTCTTTGATATTTTCCTCATTTTGAAGCGATTGAATTAACTCTTTGATTTTCTTAATGATCTCAGATTTATTTGACTTGCCCTCTAAATCACCAATAATATTTGTATCTTCAAATTCTAATATTGGATTAGGTTTTCAATACCAATTATTGAATCTTTTATACTCATTAGAAAAACAATTTTCGAAATCAATTTTCAAGATTTTTAATATCAGAGATCCCTATTTGAATATTTTCTTCATTTTCATTTGTTGTCTCGCACTCTTGTTGAATTTGTTCATCATTTTCCTTTTAACCTCACTAGAACCTTAATAGTTCATTTCAAGGGTGTGTCACATTTATTTAGTAATGTTATAGTTAAAAGCATAATTGTACTCTCTAGTGTTTAATAAACTTATCATCAAGTAATTTGGTTTAAAATTGTATTGCACTTTATCCTTCTCTTCTATTATCCACAAATTTCTTAGTTTGTGTACAACTTTATTATCAATGAAATGAGTAGGAAAAAATGGATCATTCATAACATAATCCTATAAACTGAAATTAACAATAACCAAAATCATTTTCGTTCTTGCTTTCCGACCATATGGTAAACATTCACCTTTAAACGATGGGTATTGAAATTTCTCGGCCACTTAGGATTTGCCTTAGTTTATATTTTGTTGATTTTCAATTTAGTCATTTGGTTTGTTTGTCATAATTGAGTCTATGCACATAATTGCATATTTTAAGGTTGAGTGCTAATTTTTTTTACACGTGCATTAATCGAACTATTTTCTTAAAATCAACACAATATGGTTATAGTCAATTAGTTGGAGTTTTGGATCAAGAAACACATAAAGGCATGATTCAAATCGTGCCAACTCTGGATTCAAATAAAGAGTTCATTTTTTGTAAAAGTTGAACTTTTTGAAGTGTGGTTCAAATCGTAGAATTGGCTTCCTGGAATCCAAAATTAATGTGAAAATCATAAATTGTTTCTATAATTTTTTATTTGAGTAATGAAAAAGAGTGCCTCGAATAAAAATTGAATATGAAAAACAAGATTTTTCCTCTGTATTCTTTATTTGATTCACAAAAAAGCCTGACTTGAATCATGGCAGTATTGATTTGAGGATGATTTTATTTTTGGATCCACTGATGAATCTCTATGTAAATAGTTTGCTAGTATCATGCAGGTAGAGTTTTAAATGTCATTGATGGGAGAGTTTAATTACTTCTTAGGATTGCAGATCAAACAAACAAAAATGACATGTGTTGGACAAGTAGCTTCAAGCACAAAAAGGAGAATGAAATATGATATTTAAAATCGCGATTACTTTTATATTTTTCTCGATTAAGCTTGAAATTGTGTTAGTAGTTTCTTAAGAGTAAATAGCTGCAGAAATAAATAGTAAAAATAAACAACAGAAATTAAAAAAAAAAGAAAGAATAGAATTAGAGAGATTGCATCAGTATACAAGTTTGACTGGACGTTGGTCTAGTCCTGTCCCAAGAGATTTTCTTGAGAGTTTGACTATAATCTTTGAGTTTTTGAAGGTTATGCCCACAAAACTTTCATAAAATATGATCTTGAGATTTTTACAGACTTATCCCCAAACAAAGATACCTTTTACCATAGAGCAAGCTAACAAACCTTAGAGATTTTCAAACTGATCTCAATAACCAAAAACAAAACTTTTCTGACAAAGATAATTAAACCAAAACAAAGATTTTATGAATGGTTTATCTCACAAACCAAACTCAATATTCTCAATAACATCTCACTCTCAAGAATTAAACAAACAACGCGATCACTTACAAACTCTTTCTCACAAGCAAAGTTTCACACAAAATCACTATCTCCTTGTTGTTGGCCTTTGGTGTGTTTGCCGAAACAGAAACTCATATTGCTTCACAAATGTTTCATCCTCTTTTTTGACAGATCATGAATCTCGCAACATATCAATGTTCAATTTTTGCTTTCCCATCCCTTCTTTAGACAGTGCTTGGTAACTTCAATAGATCTTAGATTTCAAGTTTTCCACACTTTTTTGATATTCTTTAGGTTGAACTTTTAAGGTATTTTCCAAGGACTTTATTTGGCAAAAAAAAGCTAAACTTCAACGATGTCTTATGCTACACTGACTCCCTAGTCCCCCTACAATTTATCAATATTCTCAAGGAACCAACTCCTAAATTTCATAAGTATGCTCCTTTAATTCAAGTCACTGAAAATTTGTTCCTCCAAAATTGGCCTCCATTCATCATCCATACACTTCTGAGAGAGAAATTTTTGCATTTGATTCTTTGACTGACCTTAGTGTTTTCTCAGATCATAAAATATTTTTAACTTAAATGTAGTTTTGTCCCTAATTTGATGATTTTTACCTTTTATTCCCCCCATTTCTCTAATCACTTTAATTTGCAAAATAAAAACATTTCGCTAATCCTTCATTCTGAAAAAACAAACTATAATCCCCTTCTCTTCAATTACCATTGTTGGTTAAGCACATCCTCTGATAACGAAAGAACAACACAAATCAATTAACCATACGAAAGAGATAAATTACAATTTACAATCAGCCATTGTTACATCATTAAGACTATTTATGAACTGGACAAGAATGAAAAGTAACCCAATATAATGGTCATAATCAAGACCATTGAACTTGAAACACTTTAGAAACAAAAACTCATATTCAGGACCATTGAACTTGAAACACTTCAGAAATAAAAACTCTCAAACTAAAGGCAGGTTTAAAGTAACAATGAATTATAAATAAAAGCTGATATATTATAAAAAAAATGCGTTGTATAATAATATACATCAATAATAGTGTAACTTCCAACATTATAACATTAGATAAAATAATTAACAAAAATGAGCCAAACAAAACTAGCTGCAGGCAAATACAATTGATGGAGTTTTGTAAGTTGGCTTACCACAAGCTAAGCTGCTCATGGTTTTACACAAAAATATGAAGTTTACATGACCAAAAGATGTTTTACCATTCTGAACTAGTAATCACCTTCGACATAAAATGGTCTTTCCATTGACCTAAGCTAGCAAAAGGCATGAGACCACAGCACAATGGCAGAACAACAAGCAAAATAACATAGAACAGCAACCGACGAATCCAATACCAAAAAATTGTATTGCCTTTCTTTGTCTGCATTACTTCGATTGGTCCATGAAGAATTCGATACAAAGCAGGTGTCCAGCATATAGATACGAAATGCAGCAAACATAGAATCTCCCAATATAAGAGCCAAACATTACCACTCCCTCCCAGTGTGTCTATACACAGTTTTCCACAGTAACCACAGCCAATACATAGCATCAAAAGGATGAAAGTAACTGGCATTGTTTGTGATGACAATGTCGATGCCCGCTGGAAGAGCAAATACGCAACTACAATAATCATTAGGAAACCAAACACCATCCGGCTTACAACTCCAACTCGACAAATAAAAATGTGCACACTTGAATTGAACCAGGCTACTGATTTTGGAGTGAACCAGGAGTAAGATTCCTAAAGTAGATTAAAAAAACAAACACCATAAATATCTCCAAATTAAGCAAAGAGGGTGCTGAAAAGAGCTGTCATAATGATATCCTATTTTACATAATCTGCACCTTAGTTCTTAAACAAGATTTCAAAGAAAGTGAATACGATAAGTAGAATATTTGATCATGTACTTAAAAAATGAAAAACTAAACAAGGAAAGAAAAACTATAAGCAAAACCAATTTCTTTTCTAAATAATATTATAATGATCCGGCCCATATTAATTATTTGCATCCTTCAAATATAATTTTGTTTCTAAATAAAATTTTATCAATACTTCTCCTATTAGTTATTTTTCATCATGCAATTACAAAAATATTATAACTGCCTCAACCATAGCTTAAAATTGGAACATGGAAAAGAAAAATATTATACTTGCCTCTTCTGGAGCACACAATTCAGCAGCCTCAATAAACCGTTCAAAGTTGTAAACATAAGCGCCATAAAAAAGTGAGGCTGACATAATGAATAGACCAGCAATAAGACAGTCTATGCACGTCTTATTTAGTTCACCATATCTGGTATCTTCTAACTGATTCTTAAAATTTTCAGTTTTGAAAGATGACTTTGATACTTCCATAGCTAACTTTGATCGCTCCAGATCATTTAAATCGTAGCGGAGAGCCAGATCTATCTCTTTGAGTTTCAATTTTTGTCTTGTAAGACCAATTTCAACAGTCTTGAGGTCATTAGAACGGCATTGCTCCACAACAGACTTCTCAAATGTGCTATTCACTGAATTATTAAATACAGCTCCAGAAGAGGTTGGAGAAAAACAAACCATTTGGTTTGATTGCCCATGCAAAGCAAGATCATGAGTAACTGACTCCATGTGAAAATTATCCCTAACCTCTTCACTACTAATTGATTGATCAATATTTTCAGCATGTTCGTGTGACAGTGGCTCTGATTGACAATCCTCCATAACAATATCACGTGAGCAATCTCCTCTGTTCAATATAGAATTTGGAATTTCCAACCTCACGTTATTCAATTTAGAATTTGGAATTTCCAACCTCATGTTATTCAATTCAGAATTTGGAATTTCCAACCTCACGTTATTCAATTCAGAATTTGGAATTTCCAACCTCATGTTATTCAATTCAGAATTTGGAATTTCCAACCTCATGTTATTCAATTTATTCCCTTCATTGCTAGCCGTTGATTCATAAATTAATCGAAGAGTACTCAAAGTGCTATCAAAAGATTGTTCAAAGTTCTTTGTCAAACCATCTAGCTTGTCTCCAAATACCTATGGCGGGATAGGCAGAAATCAAAACAAGTGTCACACGGACATCACTTTAACATGATGGACTTTATCGACAAGAAAGCTTTCAGAGAAATGTAGCAAAATCACAATCAAGGGATGAATTAACAGTTAATGTCTAGCTTACACTGGATAAAGATTCATTGATCGCAGACGTGCACATCTACAAGGCAGACAATCAGTAGAACAGTCAACACTCAAATCAAAATTGAATCGAATTTCAGCAACTGACAAAGATGCATATAAAGATAGCTGAAAAAATCTCATGTTTGTGACTTTCCCTAAATTCATGGTATCAACAAATCATAATCATAATCATAATCAATCATACAAGTGACTTTAGAAGTAGTTATGATTCGAATCAAACATTTTTAATTATCTGCCAATTGCAATTGATTGACTGTGTAAATTAATTAAATCCATTGTAACAATGAATGTGCACAAGCCAGAAACAAAATTTGTTAAAACCAGACAACAAAATTACCGATGAAAGATGACTGGGAGACATACTATCACCTGCAGCATCTCTTCTATACAACACCTAAAAACAAAAACAAACAAAAAATTCATGACCAGAATCAATAAATAACTGTACAAATTAAAATAAAATAAAAACTTACTAGAATTGATTGTTTTAGTGTGTTTGGGCTTCATATTAAGGAGAGCCAAACCAAAGGTGATTCCAGACACCTAAAATTGGTTTTGACATTTTTGAGTAATGTCGATTAGAACTGATTTTGCAACCAAATTTGATTCTAGATTGAAGCTCCAAACTGATTTTTTTTTTACTATTAACGTGAATTTTACACTCAAATTACTTTCATGCTTTCATCTTAAAATCAATGTTACAAAATCAATCCATTCAAAATCATTTTTTAACAGCAAACAAACACACTAATAGTTCCTATAATAAAAAATTAACAGATTTGATTGAAAGCATCAATTTTTAAGCTTTCAAACATCAATCAATACGTAATTAGCAGAGAGCAAATTACTTCAGAAAAAAAAAATTTAGCGAGTTCCTTTACCTGAGCCATAACAGCGGCGAAAGACATTCCAAGAGGAAAACCAATGGCGGCAACATTATTAACCCTTGTGCGGCGAACAGTAGCTCTAGGGTTCCGTCGTTTGCACAGTATTCCCTTACTTTTAGGTTTAGGTTTTTGAAATTGTGACGAACTATACGACGTCGTTTCGGAGGCGTCGAAAGTTGACCTATTATTGGGTATTACTTGTGATTCTGATTGAGAGGAACAACACTGGATCTCAGCGATTTGATGGCGCTTGTCGTCATCCATTGCTATCGTTTCAATGAAGAGATGAAGAAGCCATGAAATTTGAAATTAAACAACGCCGAAATTTGGAACGCCCGGTGTTATAGTGATAGAGTAGTAATAACGATAATTTAATTTTATTCAATGCGCTGCTATTGGAGAGTGTTGTGTTGGGTATGTGAAGCGGTGTGTATGATCGCGTCAATGTTGTCTCCGTACGTTTAACTTGTACTTTACGGCTTCATCACTTATTCCCAAACTTGATATTTATGGAGTAACTTGTTTCATGGATATATTTTTGGAATACAAGATTGGAAATAAAAATATTTCTAAAAGGAAAATAAAATTATTTCTAGAAAAAAATTAGAATTCTTTTTTAATATAACAAGTATATTCAAAAAATATACTAAAATAAATAAAAAATTAGAAAAAATTATCAGTGTGGTCAAGTTTCTATCTTCTGTCGTCAAATAAAATGACGACTGCATCTCCCATATGACTTTGCCGCCATACCATTGACGAATTGGTGTTGGGCTTAATCTTCGCCATTGGACTTGGCGAATTAGACTTCTATTTCCATTTTTTTCCGTTTATATTTTTTAATTTATTTTTATTTGTTTTTATTTATTTATTTTATATTTTTTTTGATAAAATTTTTATGAAACAATATATATAATTTTATAAAATATATCATAAATTAAATATATTTACATTGCTTTTATGAAACAATTAAATTATTAATACAATTAAATATAGTTTTCAGTTTTTTTTACATTGCTTTTATTAAACTATATTTTTATATTTTTTGTTTAATAACTAATATTGTTGTAAATTATATAAAAAAAAAATTGGATGAAATTATCAAACACTAAATATAATTTGTATGATATAGTTTTATAAAATAATAAGTATAATTGTATATAATTCTTAAGACATAATAAATATAAATAGGCATAAATTTTAAAACATAATAAATATATTATTTAAATATATTCTTAGTAGGACACATTTGAATTTTGATATTTTTATAGCTTTCGGTGAAAAAAATTTGTATTTGTTGAAAAAAAGTATATAAATTTTGTAAGGGTATTTAAGACATATCATATGGAGCACGTACTATTTTATTTTTCTATAAATACAACTGCAAACACATATATTTTTCCACAACATTGTATACCAAAAGACTGAAGTCTTAATAATTTTGAGTGGAGTGCAGTCTAGAATGTCGGCATTTCTAAATCAACGTTCTTTGTCGTCGTCATCAGCATCTGAGGAACCGTTTCCAACATTTCCTCTAATGAAAAGAAATATCCTAGTTTATTTTTCAGCAACAAAGCCTCCGATGAAGGTGCTCTTGTGGAATACGCAGACGTTGGAGCACTTGCATAGGAAACTGAACCGCTGGCTAGAAGGAGATATTGCTCCAGGAGAAAAGATTAGGAAAATTGAGAGATTGGGAGAAACAGAGTTACTCGTGAATGGAGAAAAGTGGAAAATGATGCTGGTGTCCTTGTGATGATGTTAACACCAAAGAAGATAATGTTGATGTTCGTGATATCGTAGACGCCTTGGTGCATTGTTCTGTTTTATGTCTTTATGTTGTTGTTATTTTCGGAATGTTGTTGTGATATTAAGTAATGTTTGTTTAATTTTTGTTGCTTGCTAATTGTAATCGGTTAAGTATGCTTTAAATGAAATGAAATTTGCTATTGATTTAAAGGGACACATTTACATATGAAACTATGATCTGCTGCTTGATCCTACGTTAGGATATTTTGTACAATTGTGTCCTGGTTGCCGACACGAACTACATAATCTTACCATCTTGTTTGCGGTATCCATCTCCGTTCGAATGTGCGTGCTGTTAGGGCGACCCTTTTTCTTTCTTCGCATCAAATCATTATGCTAGACAATTTCGCCTTCGTATTGAGGCCAGTAGTCCTCCTTTGCCACCATCTGAAAGCTACATGTGTAGACATTGCATAGACTTATCACTTGGTGAACTGCAGAAAGAAGGTTGGTTGGGTTCTAGCGCGTATTCGAACATGTTGCTATAACATGAGAACAAGGCATACGAAATGCCTGAAACTTCCCACAATCACACCAGCTCATATCCAGTTCAACACGGTAACATCCCTTAGGCCTTCCTTCGTTGTGATCAATCGACTCGGCAACACTGAATCAACCTTTATTACAGCCAAAGATTGTGACCACGTGCGTGTTGGCTTTGGCAGCTTCGTCTTTCATGAATGTTGTTGAATTATCACTATACAACTGACAAGATTGTAATATTGAACCCCACTTTGTACGTCTGCTATCAAAGAGTGTGCCTAACCTAAAATATGTTGTCTTTACCAAGACAGTTATCGCCAGGTTTCAGATTCCCTTGAAAACAGAAATCATTGATTCAACGAGGTTAGTTGTCATGTGGCCCCATCGCACCCCATTGTCGTATGCCTGTGTCCGTTTCTATTTATCAATGTTATCAATCCATCTTAATGCATTCGCGTTTGTTAGTCTGATCTCGTCACGATAGTGTTTGAAAGTGGGTTCTGTTAGTGCATATCATGCGTTGACAACCTTCTTCCGTAGTGTTTTGTCTTTGATTTCCCGCATGAAATTTTGGGCGATATGTCTTATGCAATACACATGGGTCGAGGGAGGATCCTGCCAACCGTTATCAAGGTTGTTGTATGCACTCTCGATAGATGGGTGCCTATCAGAGATCAAACATAATTTAGGTTGGAGCGAAACGTATAGGTGGAGATTTTTTAGGAAAAAACTCCAACCCCCAGCAGTCTCCCCTTCAACTATACGAAGGCTATTGGAAAAATGTTGTTGTTCCCGTCCTGTGCCACAACCATGAGTAGGGTGCCCTTATATTTCCTGTATAACCATGTGTCGTCAACTTGAATTATAGGTTTACAATATGCAAACACATTGATGCATGGTTCAAACGCCCAAAATAATCTGTGAAAAATTCCATTTCCACCAACCCAAGTCCCGTCAAGTGTACACGCTGACATTGTCTCCAATATGGCAACAGTCCCTGGAGAGTATTGTTTTAGAGCCACCAAGAATTTTGGAAGTTCCTTGTACGAATCCTCCCAATTTCCAAACACCCTTTCAACCGCTTTAGTCCTAGTAATCCATGCTTTTTCGGTATGAATGAGTGTAATTGTACCTTTGAACCATATGTACAATTATGGTACTCACCTTCAAAGATGGTTTGTCGCTAATGACTGACAGTATCTCATCGCAAATCAATCGAGAGCTGAGTTTGCGATGGTCCTGTATCGGATTTGAGATTATACAAGTGTGGGCTGGACCCATTAACCCTATCTTCCAAGAATCACTTCTCTTCCTGAAAGACGCTGTTAATCAGAACGGGAACACCTCGTTACGATAATAGATCGTATACCGAGTCAGATTCATCAGATCGACTCTATAATCGGCTGACAACTCTATGTGATATTGTTTAATTTCCCGGACACAATCTTCTTTGGTACGAAACTCGTCACCCTTTTTAGTTGCCCTTTTGTTGCGTGGTTGGGGTTGTAGAAAAGATCTGTTGAGGGTTCATCGTCACCTAAGTTGAGAGTTGTCATGTGTTGAAGGGGACAATAAACATGGTCGGGTGGAACCCCCCTTCCTCGTTGTTCACCATCTCGTCAACAATGACTTCAGCTGCTTCTTCTTCTTTGTCAATGACATTGACTTCAGCGTGTTTCTCATCAGATTCGCAAAAATCTTGAGAAGAATCAAGTTGTTAAGATAGTTGTTGTTGTTGTTGTAACGTAACATGTAACACGATATCTGAGAATCCAAAATACTCGTGAACGCGGAACATGTTACACACATCTTCATCGTCTCGAACCTTTAATGGGAAAATTTTGCATTCGCCATGCTCGCCAAAAAACACTGGATTTTTGTATATTATTTGGCCAACTGGACCACATTGCATTTTTTTCTAATCTTGACTTCAAGTGTAAAAAATTTGACCTTTTGTCAATTAAGAATCTCGTAACATCAGTGTTTCTGAAATTGTAACCGGCTATGGCACATTCAAAAACTTCACCGTTAAGATGTGCACTAATCATGTATTGTGGTGTTTGAGACATGGTGAACATTGTGTTTGGAAAGTCTGTTTTACTAATTGATATGATAATAATACAAATTTATCTACTCTATTAATAATAATTTGGTGAGCTGCATGACAAGACAAGACAAGACAACATTTTGCACGCCACAGTGAGTTGCATGATAAGACAACACTATGTGCGCCACAGTGAGCTGCAAGACAAGACCACACTCAGGCTACCATCTGCACTCTATCTACAGGCCTACGAGATTCTTATTAATAAATGTATGTTACATGGCTACAGTGATTGTCTGTACTCTGCATGACATGACATGACTGAACACCATATACTGCATTTTTGAAATTAAATGTTGAATATATTTGCTGCTGCGTTATTTGTAATATTATGTTTGACGTTAAATAGCATAGTAACATTATACATATTATGTTCACATTTATTAACCCAATATTATTATTAAATTCTTACTAATTAAAAATATATTAAACTTAATAACGAGAAAGATTTAACTAAGTTTATTTTACTTGAATGTGTGCAACAAGCATGCAAGACAAGACAACACTCAGGCTACCATATGCACTCTGTCTACAGGCCTACGAGATTCTTACTAATAAATGTATGTCACATGGCTACAATGATCGTCTGTACTCTGCATGACATGACAAGACTGAACACCATATAATGCATTATTGAAATTAAATGTTGAATATATTTGATGTTGCGTTATTTGTAATATTATGTTTGACGTTAAATAACATAGTAACATTAAACATATTATGTTCACATTTATTAACCCAATATTATTATTAAATTCTTACTAATTAAAAATATATTAAACCTAATAACGAGAAATATTTAACTGAGTTTATTTTACTTGAATGTGTGCAACAAGCATGCAAGACAAGACAACACTCAGGCTACCAT